GTGGACAAGTGAAGACGACGTGATTTGATTTGTGCAGATCGCAAAGTGGAGGAAGAGAGAGAAAATAGCGAGGGAGGAAGAAGAGACGGAGAGAAAGACAGAAAGTGTCCAGGATCTGGGAAAAGAAAACAGAACCGGCCGACCAAAGCAGCACCACGGCTTCAGCATCAAAGCAGAGCAAAGATCCGGTCTACACATCGAGTCCACGGAGCGGGCCGCAAACAAGCTAACGTTAGCATTTAACCTAAATCACGATGTCTAGTTGAGATGAAGGCAAAACAAAAGTAAAGGCTCAATGTAGAAACGTGTGTTTGTTGTTGTTCTCTGAACGTTACAGTGATATGAGTTACACCGCTGATCCCGGTACAGGGAGCGCCAAGCCAAAGTATTTCTCATCCAATTAATCGATGAAATAATCTGTAGAATACTCGATTACTGCAATAATCGTTAGCTGCAACCCACGATCTTTCCAAAACGTTCCTGAACCTAAAAGAAATCATGATTTTCTCGGGTCACTGATGAACTTTCCACCAAATCTTGGAGAAATCCACTAACTCACTAACTAATAACTACACCAATTATATCAATACCTGTCAACATTTGCCAGGTGACACATTTCGGGCCCAAACGTATTGCCATGGTAGCGACCTGTCAATCACCTTGTAGCCCCGCCCTAAAGCCTCCCCTGCTTCCTGGTCTCTGTTCCTCTAAATGGGACCATAATTTACTAAATGAACATCATGCTGTGTTGAAGAAGACTTGAAACTAGCGACTGAGACCATAAACTCATCAGGAAAGTGTTTACTGAGGGAATAAATCAGCTGACAAGTAGAAACAGTTTCTCAGAGACTTCTATACAATCACACTTCTTTCTGCAGCCGCTGGAGTCACCCCCTGCTGACTGCTGGAGAGGACGCAGGTTTAAAGCCCTGGATATACTTGCTTTTTAACATTGCGTAGGCGTAGACAGGCGTCGGCGACGCAAACGGCATTGTTCACATGCTTGCCTGCGTACTTTGCATGTACCTGGAGGATTAAACCTGAATCCACTAGGGGGCAGATCAGGACCGGATCATCCCTCGCCGACACAGGATCATCTTCCTCAGAATTTGCACTGCGTAAACAAACCAATCACGGCGACACTCGAGCAGGTTTTGATTTTAACGAGACATCGTAACGAGACATCGTAACGAGACATCGACATCGTAACGAGACAACAAGACATCGTAACGAGACATCGTAACGAGAGACATCGTAACGAGAGACATCGTAACGATCTCGGTAACTGCGAACTAGCTCCAGGAGTTTTATTGTAAACGCCATAAATCTCCTTTTTTTAAAGTCTGCTGCTGATCTTCTTCTTCTTCTTCTTTTGGTTTTAATGGCGTTTGGCAAACCAACTGCACACCGCCACCACCTGGGCTGGTGTGTGGAACAGGAGATTGACGTACTGCCACCACATTCACGTGCGGAATTACATCTCGCGGACACGTAGCGTTAATTTCTGGGGACGTGCACCACCTTTTGGAGCGCATCAAGTACAAGTACATCCAGGGCTATAGGCTCTGCAGCACTGGCTTCACTTTTCAGACTCTGTTCAGGTTCCTTCTTGGTTGAGCTTTGGACATTGTTAACCTGAACCTGACGGGTTAATCTCGGTGGATCGGGAGCGTATCAACTCGTGCTGACACGATTAGTCCATTAATCTAGCAACAACTATTTGGAGAGATGAATCATTTAGTCGAGCAAAGACATGTGAAACATTCTGTGGCTGCAGCCCAACGTCTCAGACCTGACTGCACAACCGGTGAAAAAGAACAACCTTTCATCCTCAGAGACGTTACACCAGCCTGAAAGCTTCTCCACGTCTTCAGCTGAGTCACTCCTGGACGCTCTCACTGCAGCGACACAGCGAGGAAACCAAAGGAAAAAAATAAAAATGTACCCGTGAGAACGCAGCCCTCCTGTTTGCTGACTGTATCAACATGATCTCACATCAACAAATGAAGACGTGCCGGCCCAAGACTGGGGCATTGTGGGAAGTTGCATGTTATGGGTGTTGTGTTTAGATGCAGCCGTGTGATTACAGCAGCTCCGCCAGCAGCGCTGATGAATAATGAAGAACCTTTTCCTGCCTGAGATCCACGTCCCTGTGGAGGCCATTAGCACCAACACAGCACCAATTACAGACATGCAAATGTTGTTCCCAAACACACCACAGAGCTGGAGCCAGACAACGTTTTAATGTCCCGTCACTCGCCGCATCCAAATATCTAAACTGCTAACAAATTCTGTTTTACTTGAGTAAAAGCACAGATACCTGTGCTAGATATTACTCCACTAAAAGTCTTTAGTTTTAACTTCTACCTGAGTAAAAGCACAGATACCTGTGCTAGATATTACTCCACTAAAAGTCTTTAGTTTAAACTTCTACCTGAGTAAAAGTACAAAAGCACCTGTTTTTAAAAACACAAAAGTAAAAAGTACTATAAGTATGGTTCTGTTTGTCAGGGGTTGACGTCGTTTCAGCTGTACTTTTATATTACTATTTATATTCATTTTTTTAACCGTTTTGTGTGTAAAAATCTTACTAAGTACCTGAAGCTGTCAGATAAATGTAGATAATGTGGTGCAGTCGAAGTAGAAAAGAAAACACTCAAGTAAAGTACAAATACCTCTAATTTGTACTTACGTACAGTACTTGAGGTAGCTCTGCGATGATATCTGGTAATCTGACGTGACTCACCAGCAGTTCAATTAATCTATCATGTTTATTTGTCACAAAAAGAGTTTAGTCCATTTCAGCAGCCACATTAAGACGATTACAAAGTCAGCCTGCTGCCACCTGAAGGACCGATCAGAACGCTGAGTCCTCAAAGTGGATCACATCAGTCCAGTTCTGAGGTCTTTACACCGGCTTCCTGTCTGTCAGAGATCTGGTTTTAAAATCCCGCTGCTGGTTTATAAAGCACTGAGTAGCTTAGGGCTGATCTTCTGCTACGTCGTGAACCATCCAGACCTCTCAGCTGGTCTGGGATCAGGTCTGCTTCCTGTGAGCCAAACCTAAACCTGGAGAAGCAGCGTTCAGTTTTTCTGCTCCAGAAAACTGGAACAAACTCCCAGAAAACTGCTTTTAAATCACACCCGAATACTTTTTATGTTGTTATTTTCTATTTAACTCTTTTTAATTGTATTTAAATGATCTTTTTATATTTCCTACGTTGCTTTTATGTTTTATATAAAGCGCTTTGAGTCGCCTTGTTGTAAAAATGTGCAACACTAATAAACTTGCCTTGCCTTACATACACTAACCGTCAAATCTAATGCCATGATAACAATAATGAGAAGTAATGTTGACAGTAACGTACTGTAAGTGAACCTCAGTAAATTCCTCTGGTTTTCTACACACAAAAAATATTAAACTATAATTTTAAACTATCAAAATATGAATTTATCTTTTTTTTTTCATCCACGTGACTTCCTAAACATTTTTATTGTGATAAAAAATTAAATTAGTCCAATACAACTTGTCTGACATCAAATCTCATGTCATGTTTTCATATTGTTTTGCAGCCCTGATCAGGTGCACAGATCTCTAAGTATTGATTAGTGACAACAGAGGCCGTTTGTCTCTACATCAACCTTGTCCTGACTCATGCTTCAGACGCTTCAGCTGTCAACGCAGCATTAAGTCATCCTGGGTTTTTTTTGTAAACACTCCTATCTAATGGACTGCGGTCCAGCCCTCTGCCCCCTGACCTTTGGCCCCGCTGGGTCCCCCCCTCCGCCCTCTAAAGGGACCAACAAAGAGCACTTGACGACGTCTCAGTGCTGATGCGCCGGCCCACGGTCTCTCTGACTCTTCAGTTTTACAGCTCTCTCAGCTCGTCGTCCCTCTTTGAGCTTTTGTTACGACAGCAGTGTTGACTTAGAGCTGAAAAGGGCTGCGAGTTGTTTTAGCAGAAGGCCATTAAATCACACAGGCTGAGTCCCGAGCCGAACTCTGACAGACTGACGACTTCCAGTGCATTTTGTTCAGGCAGCTTTTTGTGTTTAAAGTCCGGTGTTCTTCTATACTTTTCGTCTTGTCGACAAACTTCACGCCCGTTGGTTCCTACTGAAGTAGTAAATATATTAATACTATAAAAGGGACTATTTCCGGCGGCGGATGAATCCGCTTGTGGTGCCGTTTGTGGCAGCGTGACGGGGTGTGTGTGTGTGTGTTCATGCTGATCAAAAAGCACGAGGTGAATCTAACGGCGCTTACTCGCTGCCGGCACCAGCTCAACTCACCTCGACTCAATTCGCTTTCTGTGCCGCCGTCCTCCATTTCCCATTAAATGAGCCACTACGTTTCGTCAGCAACCAAACAGAGGACCGTAATACCAACGAAGTAACAGTGTCGTTACAGTTATTATCTCACAATCTCTGGCTCAACTATTTAAAAACGCAAAACTAGGGGCTTGACAGTCCACAAACCAACGAGTGACGCCACGGCGGCCACCTCCACTTCTGTTATACAGTCTATGATCTGTATGAAAGTGATCGATCTGCCCTGCAGCCAGAAATATTGCTATAAAACCAATATATATCCGAGAGGTAGCCGCTGAGACGAGACTCTTCTGAGCCGGGAAGGAGGCCGTTAAGAGGAAATAACAGTACGATGTTACATGACGGATAATAAGAACTTGTAATAAAGAGAAATATTGATGAGCAGAGACTAAACTTTTCTCCTTCGAGGCTCCTGAGCTTCGAGCGGGAAACCTAACCAGCCAGCGTTTCACCTCCTGACCAGAGGCTCGGGGTTCAAACTGAGACATGAAACACACAAAACTGAATCTGCTGACCAAACACATTTCAGCCTTCCAGTTCCCAGAGTTACTGCAGAGTGGAAACTGTTTTATAGATGCAGAGGGAGCGCTGTAACGACTGGAGCGCCCTCGCTGCCAGAAACGTGTCCAGATAATGTCTTGTTTTATAGTTTTGACTTCATCGCTTACCCATCTGTGTCCTGGTAGTTCACATTGAGTCTCTTGGTGGAACCCAGCAACTCTGAAAAACACAGAACAACACAGAACATTAATATACGATCATCATAAGACGCTCTGGAACCTCTTGTCTGTGAATCAAGAGTCTTACAAAACCTCCTCGAAAGGGAGGCCAATACAGATGAAACCACCAATCACAGCGCAGGCAGGAATGATATGTGTCTGCGTTTCTTTTGATTTTGAAGTTGAAAAAAGGAAACTCCAGCTTTTGTTTGTACATATATTGCCCAGAGGTTTTCAGCTAAATGCCTCCTCGATATATTTCCCACCCACTCCACCAGCGTCCCAACCAATCCTACATCCTGGTATCGACAAATCTCTAATCTAACACGACGACGCCGATTTATAACATGATGCAGGCTAGTAGCTACGATTTCTGGACACTTTTGATTGTAAAAAAAAGTTCTTAGCTATCTTAAATATCTGACAAATGAAGGTTCTCGGTCACGTTCACGAGACAAAAAACGCTGTTAATCCATTTTTTCTATGAAGCAGCATTTTCAACAGCTACACTCTAAAAAACAAACAAACAAAAAACGTTTTTAGAAATTACGTTAAAAATAGCAACAATAAAAGACTATTAAATTCAAAATAGTATTTCACCATAGCAGACACACTGAATTACCCTGAATTTACATTACATACATTTTGGTAAAAATTAAAGGGAAAATACCATAAAGCCACCAGAAAGTATTTACCCTAAAATAAACGGTATCCTACTGTCTAAATGTCAGATTTAGCTGATGTGTACATTTAAATTTACAGTATAAAACCATTCAACATTCAGCAAAAACACAACTTCATTCCTATGAAAATAAGATGTTAAAAATATAGTTTATGTTTCTTAAATCATTTCAAGGTAAGAAATTCTGTAGAGTCTGCGGTAAATGCGTGACTTTTGGGTTTGTGGTGTTTCTAATTATGTATTTTTACAGGTTTACTTCAAACTTGACTTTCTTGACTTAGATTAGGCTGTCTTTGAAATTGAGAAATATCAAACGTGTAATTCAGGGCACAATTCAAAAGGGATCAAGTTTTTTCTCATGGCGCGAAGGGATGGACTACCGTCCAATCAGAGATCCAGTACAGTATTAAATATACGGACGCCTTGGTAGAAAACACAGATCTCCTTCATCACATAAAAAAAAGAAATTGATTGGAAAAGTTAATCAATGACTAACGTTACTGTTCGGTTGCTGAGGTAAATGACTAGACAAAGCTCTGACAGATCTGATAAGCCCTGTTGATTTGCAGTCTGTTCACTCAGGATGTTCTAATCTGCTAATCGAATTGACCAAAATGGCCCAGCAACCAGTCCGCGGCGCCAGGAGTCCCGAACTTTTGCCTGAAACTGGAAATACTCAAGTAAAACCGCCATACATTCAGCACTATCGCTGAGTAAATGTGCATTTCCTATTATCAGTATAGTAATAATGTGTAAACGTGATGCTGCCACCATCTGAGATCTGCACGTAGGCAGCTCAGCGTCCCTGCTGTCAGTGTTCTTGGTAAAAGTATGCGTAACATCTAACGTTTGTGATGGCTTTAAGAATAAAGAGGGAGTGTTTGTGTGGCGGGTTTAACCGGCAGACGCCCTGCGGGACGACGGGACAACACAGACAGCAGGCGACTGCAGGAACCCACCGGAGACTCCGGGTCCACCTCAGGCTCCTGAACTCTCTCTTTCCACTGCAGACAGGAGATATCTGTTTGTTTCCTGCTGAGACTTTATTCACCAGATCATAAATCCTCCTTCGTGTCTTTCTCTGCTGGACCTCCTGAGGAAGCTTCATTAGCCTCTGACCTGGGTCTGACTCCCTCGGCGAGGTCAGAGGACGGTCCGCTGAAGAACAACAGCTCTTTGATCTGCTGCCAGACAAAAGGCCTCGCTGCTTCTCCTCCTCCAGGTCTTTCCGCCACAGACTCCCACGGTTTGGACAAAGTCTCCGACCTCGTCAAGTGAGACGTCCACAAGCAGCTCTATGGCCTCATTCGGACTCCCGGGCGCTGGCATGTTGTGGCATTTAGGCTCTCAAACTGTGCAGTTTCCCCGACAGCCCCGTGCTCTGTTTGGTGCAGTGGTGGGCCGACCTGCGTCTAATCAGCATGTCATTATAATTCCACGGTCACTGACTCGGCGCTGGAAGTCAGAAGGCTGCATTCAGTCTCTCTTGCTTCTGAATCACCACACAATCAGAGTTCTGTGCAGCCGAGTGCGTCACGTAGCAAATTACTTTAACAATTACTAACCCGGTTACTGTCAGTACCCTGATTTTCTGCTGAAACGTGGTTTGTGTAATCAACACTCGGGGATCAGAGGAAGCTGGATTTCTGCTGGAGGGACAGGTGACACGCAAACTGGTGCCTAAAAAGGTCTTCGCATGAGCGTGGCAGAGAAAAAGAATCACAGAGGCAGCAGGGCGGGTTACTAAAGTCCACATAACTGAAGGTGAGTGCGACGCTGCCACGGCGAGCGTTTACTGTCAGAGCCACAGGAGGGTCAAAGGTCAGTCAGCAGGGAAGCATGGGAAAGAGATCCCAGACACTGAATCCACCCACAGCCCAGACCAGCAGACAGCAGCACTCCTCTAATCGGCTTGTAAACATGGCTGTACCCGGCCCCTCAGCCCCCCCAACAATAGAGCTTTTGAAGTATTTAAGATCTCGGGGAAACACGGCAGGCTTTCCCTCTGGGTATCGGAGCGCTGCTTTGATAATGACCTGGATTTTATAATTAATGTGAATAAATCAGCACAAGGCATAAAAACAAAAAATTAAAACCCAGACACTGAACACACACAGAGCAAGAAAACTCTCCTCTCACTGAAAGTCTTTCACTTCATAGCGTGCTAACTAGAAGGCTGTCAAGCCGACAAAAACCTCCGAAGCTTCGTTTCTTCACTTCCTTTCTCCTCACCTGTCAAACTCCTGTCATACAAAAATTAAAACCCCACAAAACTGAGTAGGGTTTAGGAAAAACAGGGCAGGTGGGAAGGTTTCATACGTATATTGTATTTGCCATCAAAGAATGTATTTGTGTCATTAAATATGTATTAAAATAATAAGAAATCAGATATGTGTGGAGTAGGGAAGTCACAAAGACCGATACTTCTGTACCAAGTCGATGCCATAATTCTGAAAACATGACTGTACTCGTTTTTCTACAGCACTGTAGGTAGCGTGGAACCAACACGTGGAAGATGGCGACAAGTGGAGCTGCAGCGGCAGCTTCGGTGTCATGTACGGAAACCGGCGTGAAGTCGACTCAAAATCACCAAAGATGACGATGCAGTTTGCAGCTGAATGTCCAACGCTCCTGTTGCTGTAGGAGGAGTTAGGGACCGTCTGAAAAGCGCCGGACGATTTCACCTAAAATCAAAACCACGATTAACTGAGCCAATGAGTTTGCATTCTTATTTTGTTTTGCTGATACTACTGATCACTTGTTGTCCCCATCTGAATAATAAATATCAAACTCTCGGGCACGCTGACCTCCAACAGGAAACGGTCTGATGCTAAATACTGTAGCCAACGCCATCGTCTACAGGCTGTCATCATCTGCTGCACATTTGTTCAAAGTTATTTTTAATGCCGTTTATGGAGCGTGGCGGAGAGAGGCCCGGAGCAGAGCTGGCGTTTGCTGGGATTTCAGCTGAGAGTTTAACGTCCCGTGGATCTGCTGCCACAAGAATGCAACAAGAGGAGGTTTTGCAGGAGTCTGCACATTTGAGAGGTCTCGTCGGGATCGGGCTCGTGGAGCGGAGTCTCAGGCTGAAAGTGCTGTAAAAAAAAAATTAAAAAAAATTCTACCAGCTTAAATTAGACGACCGCTGCGAGTATCAAATGTATGATTACACGTCTGCTGGAAAACGCCTCGCACATCTCTTTGTTTCTCGGGACAAAGCAATAAACAAAAGGGGGACGACACGGCAGCTCCTCTCCTCTCATTGTGGTGAAGCGTGGAGACCGAGCAGCAGCTCTGCACTAAATATAAAGTTCTCCTTCATGAAAACTGGCCGTCGTCCGAACACACCACAGCAGACTTCCAGTCAGAAACTGCTCCCTGAAGCACAGCAGAGGTCAGACCGCTCCACAGCGCTGAAGCAGATTACATGTTGGAGTCTAAATACAAACACACCTTCTACTTTTGAAGGAACAAAACACTTCTTCATCTGTTAATAAGGAAAGCTGCAGAGCGGAACATTAATAACAAACAAACATTGTTGTTTCGTTGAGGTTCAGCAGCCTTTGCCAGAAGAATCTCACCTCGTGGTCTGTTTACCGTCTGTTCTCAGCCTCTCTAGGCCTCCACCCCCCCTCCACATGTTGACTCAGATCTTTTGTTTATTATGGTTTTGGCCCACTGGTTCCAATAAAGAGAAATCTAGAGGGTTCAGTACCGGGCTGCAGCTGACGCTTATTTTCAATGGGTCACGAAAGCCGAAGGTGACGTTCTCAAACGTCTCGCTTTGTCCAAAACTACAACGAGATTCAATAGAAGACACGGGGGAAGCAGCAAGTTCTCACCAATAATTATTAGATTATAGGGATGTCAGCAGAAATTTAGCAGTCCATAAAGCTCCTTTACTCTCACAAACAAACGCTGCTAAATTAGCACCAGCCGCCAGATAATATGGTAAAATATGCAAAAGGCTGACAGACTTACTTCACTCACCAGCAAAGAAAACAACGGTCATCTATTGAGTGACTAACCCTCACATGTTTTTGTTCCTGAGCACCCACGCAGAAAGTCTCGGGGCAATCGGGGGTTCAAACCCGGGACCTTCTAGCTGTGAGGCCACAGTGCTATCCACTGGGCAACCTATATCATTTTACACCGCTGCTGTGTAGGCTTGTTTAGCCAAAGAACTGATTATACATTTTTACTCACTCCTAGAATTGTTATTTCTTAACAATAAATGCTTTACTTTAAAACTTTTGTTCGCGCACTGGTCTGGATGCCCGATGGGGTCAGAACAAAACAAGTAGAACAGTAGCCTATAA